GTAATATTTTATTTTAGTAAAAGTTTACATATTTATAATTTACAGGTATTGCAGTAGGACATATATATTTCTTTTTGGAAGATATTTTTCCGCAACAAGCTGGCGGTTTCAAGATTTTAAGAACTCCAGGATTTTTGTAAGTTTTATATTATATTATATTATATATGTTATTGCTATAAACATTTGTACAATGTTAAATGCTTATAAAATCTATTGTCATTGTCTATTGTCATATTAATTGTGTCAAGGTTATTGTATGGTAGCGCAATCGTTTGAAAGACTATCCTATGCATTGCTAGTCTTCAACTTAAAATCAAAGTTAGTATTAAAGTGGGTTGGTCTACAAATGGCACATTTTCTAATAATGATAAAAAACCAACATAAATGTATCATTTGGATATTTTTATGAGAGATTTCTTGAAGAAAGAAATGTTGATATAGCTATAAGTGTTTTAATATGACATTTATAGGATGAATGATAATATTATACATGTATGTTCATAATTATAAATTTATGGTATTACAGAATTTCCTTTATAGACTATTTCACTAGACATAAAACATTGACTGAATGTATTGTTTGTGAATATAATACGGAGTTTCTGAATCCTGACAATCTTAGAGTCAAATACATTGTATTTATTGAAATTCCTAGGTTTATTTACAGTTAAATGGACATGTTTTAATGAAAAAAATTACAGAGGTAAATAAGGGAAGTAACTTGTACACAACACATACTGTAGTTTATACTTGAATTGTCTCACTTAGTTTAAGGATAAGGAAAGTAACTGTTGCACAATCTAAATTCCAATACATTGCTGATATACTTCAAGGTTGTTTCCCATCGTTTTTAGAGAAACAACTCAAATGATAATTTTTTTCTCTTCATTTCAGAAAAACAATATTTGATGCTAGAGAAGATGATCCCAACTATAACCCGTTACCAGAGGAACGTCCTGGAGGGTTTGACTGGGGTGAAGGTCAGAGGGCAGGGGAACAAGATGAAAGGGATCATCTAGAATGAACTTTGAGCACTCACTATTGATGGGATCTGTGCATAATTTCAGCTAAAACAATAGTGTGATATGGATTGCTAATACCTGAAAAAAATCTTGATTTGCAAATCCATGAGAATTTTTTTTCTTTTTGACTATGGGGAAAGATATATTTATATTGAAAGGTAAAAGAATAATGAAAGTTGACACCTGGACTTTTTCAACGAATAAAGTGCAAATGTGTTGCGGCCATCTGGATGGGGATAATTGGATATGATGATACTGTGTTTAGAGTGACCTTAAGTGAATGATGAGTCTATGTGATGAGTTTTGATTCATTAAAGGCACAGAAAGCCTCAGAAATTAAGACATTTTTTTTCCTTCCTTAAATAGGGCAAACATTTGTTTTATACTGTTTGTTGAATTGGTTAAGAGCAAGTTACACATACTTGATTACCACTAGAAGAAAGTAGCACTTAATGTTATAGTATTTAATGGCGAAATATAAACAAAGTGGTATTTTGATTTTTATACAAAAATCACTATTACTGCACTGAAGGCCAAAATGTATAACAAGAAAAACATGGGTTAGTTATATGGCCTAAGAGTAACTTTTTGGAAACAGTGACATGGCACAATAAATAAAATGGTTTTGAAAAATAGAAAATAATATCATTTTTGAGGCTTAATGGGCCTTTAAAGGGAAATAAGGGGGAATGTGTTCATATTCAATGATGAATAGACAGAGGACAGAATTTGTACCATTACCTTGATAGTAGTGATATTTATACAATTTGCACTATATTTTTGTAATTGCGAAATTTAATCACATTTTCTTACGTACCTGTATCTGGGATGTTGTGAGGAACTATGAGGGGTATAATCAGAACTTTGCTGCCAGATTGGGAATTGGTTGTGTTTCAGTCAATTCTAAATTCAGAATACATCAGCTGATGATTCAAAATTTTGCCATTTCCATGTAAGAAATGTTGAATTCTGCTTAAGTTTGTGATTGGGAGCATGGACAGTAGTTTACATTTGCCAGTTCCGGCTGTGAACAGGCTCTGTCAATCTGAGCCTGCAACATATTTTTTTTTCAGTTTCAGGCATCCTTTAAAGTTTCCATTTTTTCCATAAGTTTAAATGACCTGCTTTTCTTTTGTCATGTGGTAAAACAACTTAAATGGCCTAAGCATCATGTAGATTTCTATGTCAAACTGTACATCCTGATGATTATGTTATAACATCATTGTCCAAGCGTTGTGTACAGTATAGTATTTGTTATGTTCAGGGCCAGATGAAATGGCATAAAAATCTCATAAAAATATAACCCATAACCTTAGTAGAGTCACTTTCACCCTTCAACAAGCGAAATCTTTCTGACATTACCAATTTTTAAGTATTGGACTGTTACTATTTATCTGAAACATGGGTTCTTTCTTTACTTGAAAGAATTACATAGCTACTATTATTGACAATGATATTATTTTTTTATTTTAAATACAAGACTATTACACAAAAAGGTTAAAGGTAGGAAGTGGTTAGTTGTAATAGAAATGAACCTAAGACAGTTGCCTAGGCTGTATTAGTACTAAGTAAAAAAAGCATTTTCAGTCATGCATTGAAATAAAAGTCAAAATGTTCACTTCAATCAATAATACTTGAATAAATATTGCAAAATGCTGTCAATAATTTAATGTTAATTAATTCAATATTGCAATTTCCTGTCAATTATTTAATGCTTTATCAAATATTGCAATATCCTGTCAATTATTCAATGTTTAATCAAATATTGCAATATGCTGTCAATTATTCAATGTTTAATCGAATATTGCAAAATTCTATCAATTATTCAATGTTTAATCGAATATTGCAATATTCTGTCAATTATTCAATGTTTAATCAAATTTTGCAATATTCTGTCAATTATTCAATGTTTAATCGAATATTGCAATATTCTGTCAATTATTCAATGTTTAATGGAATATTGCAATATTCTGTCAATTATTCAATGTTTAATCAAATATTGCAATATGCTGTCAATTATTTAATGTTTAATCGAATTTTGCAATATTCTGTTAATTATTCAATGGTTGATCAATTATTGAAGCATTTTATCAATTATTTAATGTTTGTTCCAATATTCTTTCAATATACCTGCATTCTATCAAATATTGCAATATTCTGTCAATTATTCAATGTTTAATCAAATATTGCAATTTGCTGTCAATTATTCAATATTTAGTCAAATATTGCAATATGGTGTCAATTATTCAATACTTAATCAAATATTGCAATATGGTGTCAATTATTCAATACTTAATCAAATATTGCAATATTCTGTCAATTATTCAATGTTTAATGAAATATTGCAATATTCTGTCAATTATTCAATGTTTAATCAAATATTGCAATATGCTGTCAATTATTCAATGTTTAATCGAATATTGCAATATTCTGTTAATTATTCAATGGTTGATCAATTATTGAAGCATTTTATCAATTATTTAATGTTTGTTCCAATATTCTTTCAATATACCTGCATTCTATCAAATATTGCAATATTCTGTCAATTATTCAATGTTTAATCAAATATTGCAATTTGCTGTCAATTATTCAATATTTAGTCAAATATTGCAATATGGTGTCAATTATTCAATACTTAATCAAATATTGCAATATGGTGTCAATTATTCAATACTTAATCAAATATTGCAATATGCTGTCAATTTATCAATGTTTAATCAAATATTGCAATATGGCGTCAGTTATTCAATCTTTGGTGAAATATTGCAATATGCTGTCAATTATTCAATGTTTGATCAAATATTGCAATATGCTGTCAATTATTCAATGTTTAATCAAATATTGCAATATTCTGTCAATTATTCAACTTTATAAAAGTGCATTACTATGTCATATATTGCAATAGCAGAACTGTCCCGTGGAAAGAACTATTTTTTAAAACATTTATTAGTTATTGTTAAAAGCAGCAGTTTATTTTTTGTATTAATATACTGGTATTATTTTGAATTGGACTTTAATGATTATTATTGTTCAAACAGTGAAACCATGGTTTTAGCATTATTTAAATCTGGTTAAACCATTTATTTGTTTGTAATACACATTATCTAGGCAAATATGTTTTGTTTTTATAAACAACCGTGTCACTGAGAGCACTTGTGTATTATTTACAAAAGAAGACTTGGAACGCCCTCCTTAAGCTCTTTATTTTGTAAGTACATGTACATATAGGCGGTTTCTGACTAAATATTAATTTATAGTCTTTTTGCACACATTTAAAGATATAGTATGCTCATTTTTGAGTAAAATATTTTAATCAAAGATTTTTTTTGAAATCAATGAAATTCTTACAGAATATGTCTTAATTTGAATAAAAGAATGAATATTTAAACTATGTTTCAGAAGCTGTGTACAATATTAAAGGTCAAGTAAAGTTGGTTATTTCTTTTAAAAAAAAAAAACTTTTTTAATGGCACTATATACATGTATTCATATGGTGACCATTTATAGGTTGTAGGATCTTAAACATAACATATCTTCTTTGTGTGAAGTCAAAACACGTTTATTTTATATTTACAAAGAGACTGAAGCAATTAACAATACTTTTTAATTTTTAAATATGAGCATAGTCAATCTTTAAGTTTTAATACAGCCTGTTTATAATTATTACAAAAATTAGTCCGCTATGAAATTTAGAATGAAAATTAGAATCTTTCAGAATAGATGGTAATGATTCGGCCGGTGAAATTTTATTTCCTTTGGGTTTTTTTAACATTGATATTTCAGCTTTAGTTTTGACGATGGAAAGTGCCAAATTTAAACAGAAGTCTTAATTAATTTTATTATAAAAAAGGGATGGGATATAGGGAGGTGGAATGGAAGTTGATTTATTATTGAATATTTAAATGACCAGAGACAGGTCAAGTTGTTTCATGTACTTACATAACATTATTTCTCATTTATAATATCCTGGTTTTGTGACATTGTTTTGACTTAACATTATATTTGACAAAAAAAATAAAGTAATTTATTAAAACAAATGTTTTTTCACTTTCAATAAAAAGTCATCTACATTATATTAAGCTATTTAAGTATTAATTAAGGAGCTTTTCAGAAATTCACTTATTGAAGTTGAATGCTGGCTCAAGTCGAATGCTGGCTTGTGCCAGGTATTTATTCCACCAATAAAAATTGATTATTTTCACCATGAGTGGTCAGTATTTTTGCCATTTCAAACTGAAAAACGAAAATAAACATGTATTCGACATATGGCATCAGCAGAAGTGGCTTTGCCAAGTGTATGGTTAACACGTCGGTCAAGTCATTTAAGGATTGTTGGCCGTGTGGGTTCCAACCCTGTCAGGGGCAAACCGTTTCCGTGAGCAAGCAACTTTAAACTCGTTGCTTAGTGGAACGGATTCGAGAGTTTTTCAATAAGATTATAGCTTCAGACACAATCAGACTAAAATAAACTGATTTGTTCACATGTATTATAGTAATCTAACGCATTACAAAACACACAGTACTTGAAATATTAAATTGTTATTATCTTATCTCATTTTGTGATACTAGTATGCGAGATGATCGTTTCCCAATCTCGGCTGGAGTAAACGACCCTTAAGTTTAGAGAGATAGGCAGATATATCAAATAGTATGCGCCAAAACTATTTACCCAATGCAGGGTATGTCTTACCAATAGCTTAGTTACATACATAGGATATGTTTAGTGAAGCAATATCTGGGATAAAGTAATCCACAGGAAGCATTAAAATTAGCAAAATTACGTGAAAATTGCAGAATGTTTCACGGAAAGTAAAAACAACAACAAACAAAAATGAAATAAAAAACAACACAACAAAAAAAAACGAATTACCCGTGTGGGCTCAACATTTTATCCCATAGAAATGATATATTTAAAAAACTAAGGGAAGAAAAAAATATATATATATATTAAACCTTGACCGCTGTTTGTATTGGTTTTCTCTCCCACGCAAACCATAGAAATATGGAATATAACTCTGTGTTAAAGGGACTCCACTGAGGTTTTTTGACATGACGGGACTGGAAATAATTTGTGGAGATTAATGTCGGTTTGATGTCGGTCAAGACCAATAACTTGTGTGCAAAATTGCAGGCCATTTGCTCGCTCCATTTGTCTAGGACATTTATTCTAATTGTAAAAAATTACCAAAAACTGAAAAGCGTATACATCGGATATGTAATAGCATTAAAATACAATTTTCAATTTATGTCCGAGTATATTTCTTGACTATCCTGAATATATTTCTGTTTTAAGTGGCCGAGCTGATATATGTAAGTATTAAATTCAAATTTTATGTCTTACTAAAACTGCGCCCACTATAAATGATACTTACTTTAAGACTTTTATGATGGACTCCTTTGGAGGACTAAAACGGATTCTATATTTAGAACACCCATCGGCGCCAAACAGAATTCTGTTCGAGTTACAGAAATTAGACGGTATTAATTCGAAGTAAAAATTTTATGTGAAAAAAATGCATGGTTTTCCGGATAAAACTGGGTTTTATGTAATAGCTTATTAAGTGTAGATCTAGATAATGAATGGGAATTCGGATAATTAAAACCAGACTAGTCTGGTAGGGCCTAAGCTGTAATGGAAAAGGTCAAAAGTAAAACAAATTGCAAAATTACTAGTTAGATTTTTCTTCAATGAATACTCCTGTAATTTGAAGCGTATTGTAATCTTAAAAAAGAAAGAGGCACATTTTTGTTTATTTACCGATAACTTTAATGTTAATACTTTACAGATAAAGCAGTTTCAAGTTGTTTATTTTATCTCAGTACTTAGATCTGTACTCACATCACTAAAATTAGATTCTCAATCGCAATTTTTCAACTTACTTTAAAGCAATAAGATAAGATTGATCACTTTGTATTGTAATTTCAAGTTTGAACTTTTAATCCTGTCAAAATACATTACTGAACGATTTTTGAGCTATCCAGCTGTAATACATGATGGTTTGCATTTTAATAACCCAACCTGCACTTTTCATTCATCGTGAAACCTATATTCCTTGCTCAAAGCAATCCATCGTGTTATTAAGGAATCCATATCCAGTTCGTT